AGTGTCTGTGTGACAGCTGCTGGGGGCTGTGGCTGGGGCAAAACCACATTACTGAGTGTTTTAGTGAAGCTTTGGGAATGGTGAGCTGGAAACACCCCGTGCAGGGGAGTCACTGTGGCTTTCCTGCAGCTGGATCACAGCGTCCTGACTGGGGGAAAACAAACCCTGAGCGAGCCTGCCCTTGTGCTTGGGAAGGTAAGAGCTGAGGAAGTTCTTGTGGCTGGTGAGATAAGGCAAAATATGACATAATTCTGGATGGATAAGGATCAGTGAGTATTGGAATTGTGCAAATGGAGTGGCTTTGTGCCTGGTTCAGCAGAGCACTTAAAATTAAGTGCCTGCTGATACAGCTGCAGCTTAAAATGCCCGGCTGGCTGTCCCTGGAGGCTGAGTGTTCCTGGGGCAGCTCTGGGGAGATCTGAGCAGTGCAGGGGCTGCACTGGTGCCCTGCAGCAGCAGTGCTGTGCTGTGTGCATGCAGAGCACTGAGGGGGATCAGCTGCAGCAGCAGTGCTGGGCTGTGTGCATGCAGAGCATTGAGGGGGATCAGGCAGGGGCTGCACTGGTGCCCTGCAGCAGCAGTGCTGTGCCTGGCTGGCATTGCTGGCATGGCTGCAGGACCATTCCATCTCCAGCCCACCACGAATCCCTGGAGCTCAGCACAGCTCTCTCCTCACCTGCAGCTCAGCACAGCTCTCCCCTCACCTGGAGCTCAGCACAGCTCTCCCCTCACCTGGAGCTCAGCACAGCTCTCCCCTCACCTGGAGCTCAGCACAGCTCTCCCCTCACCTGGAGCTCAGCACAGCTCTCCCCTCACCTGGAGCTCAGCACAGCTCTCTCCTCACCTGCAGCTCAGCACAGCTCTCTCCTCACCTGGAGCTCAGCACAGCTCTCTCCTCACCTGGAGCTCAGCACAGCTCTCTCCTCACCTGGAGCTCAGCACAGCTCTCCCCTCACCTGGAGCTCAGCACAGCTCTCCCCTCACCTGCAGCTCAGCACAGCTCTCTCCTCACCTGGAGCTCAGCACAGCTCTCCCCTCACCTGGAGCTCAGCACAGCTCTCCCCTCACCTGGAGCTCAGCACAGCTCTCCCCTCACCTGGAGCTCAGCACAGCTCTCCCCTCACCTGCAGCTCAGCACAGCTCTCTCCTCACCTGGAGCTCAGCACAGCTCTCCCCTCACCTGGAGCTCAGCACAGCTCTCCCCTCACCTGGAGCTCAGCACAGCTCTCCCCTCACCTGCAGCTCAGCACAGCTCTCCCCTCACCTGCAGCTCAGCACAGCTCTCCCCTCACCTGGAGCTCAGCACAGCTCTCCCCTCACCTGGAGCTCAGCACAGCTCTCCCCTCACCTGGAGCTCAGCACAGCTCTCCCCTCACCTGGAGCTCAGCACAGCTCTCTCCTCACCTGCAGCTCAGCACAGCTCTCCCCTCACCTGGAGCTCAGCACAGCTCTCTCCTCACCTGCAGCTCAGCACAGCTCTCTCCTCACCTGGAGCTCAGCACAGCTCTCCCCTCACCTGGAGCTCAGCACAGCTCTCTCCTCACCTGGAGCTCAGCACAGCTCTCCCCTCACCTGGAGCTCAGCACAGCTCTCTCCTCACCTGGAGCTCAGCACAGCTCTCCCCTCACCTGGAGCTCAGCACAGCTCTCCCCTCACCTGGAGCTCAGCACAGCTCTCTCCTCACCTGCAGCTCAGCACAGCTCTCTCCTCACCTGCAGCTCAGCACAGCTCTCTCCTCACCTGCAGCTCAGCACAGCTCTCTCCTCACCTGCAGCTCAGCACAGCTCTCCCCTCACCTGGAGCTCAGCACAGCTCTCTCCTCACCTGCAGCTCAGCACAGCTCTCCCCTCACCTGGAACTCAGCACAGCTCTCCCCTCACCTGCAGCTCAGCACAGCTCTCCCCTCACCTGGAGCTCAGCACAGCTCTCCCCTCACCTGGAACTCAGCACAGCTCTCCCCTCACCTGGAGCTCAGCACAGCTCTCCCCTCACCTGGAGCTCAGCACAGCTCTCCCCTCACCTGGAGCTCAGCACAGCTCTCCCCTCACCTGGAGCTCAGCACAGCTCTCCCCTCACCTGGAACTCAGCACAGCTCTCCCCTCACCTGGAGCTCAGCACAGCTCTCTCCTCACCTGGAGCTCAGCACAGCTCTCCCCTCACCTGCAGCTGCTCTCCCCTGGTTCAGCAGTGCCTGCCTGGCTGTGAGGAGCTGTGCGTCCTGCTGAAATTACAGAAGGGCTGAAAACACAACTGGCAGCTGGCCAGTGCCCTGACTCAAACCTGCACGGAAAATTGCTCTGGCATCTGTATTGACTGGAGATAATTGGAACTTCCCAGTATTTTTTCAGCTTATCCTGAAACCCTTTAGCAAGAACAGCAGTCAGGCAGCAGTGTGTGGCTTGATAACTGTGTTCCCATGCAGTTCAGGCAGGCCTAAAGCACCAAAGAGACACCAAAAAAACTTCCCCAGAGAGAGCCCTGTAGCTGGTGGTGGCTCTGAGCTGATGGTGACCCAGTGCTGCCTGTGTGCTGCCTGCTCAACAGTATTCACATGTCTTCAGGGTGAACACAGAAATGACTTCCCACATTTTAGAATGGGTATTTCAGTTTTTGCTGGCTGCTGGGGGAAGAGAGTTGAATTTCCCTCAGAACCTTAGAGCAGAGGCACATGTGCAGGGGAGAGCTGTCCTCTGAGGTGACTCAGGCTCAGCTCTTGCTCCTGGATTTATTGAAGCCTGCGCCAGTCCCGTGCCTTTGCTTTCCCCACGTGCCCTGGCAAAGAGGCTTTGCCAGCAGAGAGATGGGCACGTTCCTGGTGCCTGGAGCACTCTAAGCTGTGCCTGAGTGTGGCACAGGCTCCCGAGCTGACCTTGGCTCTCACATCCCAGGATCATCATCTCTGTGTGCCCGCTGCTGTCTTGCTGCTCCCTGAGAAGAGGAGTAAATGGTCCTGTAATGTGCATCTGGCAGGGCTCCATCATAATTGCCTGTAAATTTGTCTTTGATCCGTTTCCTTTCAACTTAACCAGGACTAAGCCAAGTTGCGGGCTGGACTGGGATAATGAGGGAGACATTGGTTGTGGTCTGGAGCTCTGGAGGCTGAGGAGGTGCTGGTGGTGGTGTGGAGGAAGGGTTAGGCAGCTGTCAGCAGTTAAAAGATAAGGCAAATGTATTTTTGATGTGTTTTTGCTGCTCAGCTCGTGTTTCTTTCTGCTGAGCACAGCACTGTAAACGGAGATGCCCTGTCCTGCTGGCCAGGGCTGGGAAAAGGGAGCTGAGCCCTGGGGTGGAGCTGCTCACTTTGGGGGCAGGGAAACCCAAAAGTGTTGTTATTACCAAAACCAAAACTGGGACTGTAATAAACTTTGAAAAAACAATTATTGGGGTTTTTGTGGTATTTTTGGGGGGTTTTTTTATTTTCTTTTTTTTTTCCCTCTAGTATTTTTTTGAGATCCATGGAAATACTGTACAGAAATTTTAAAAAAAGGATCCCAAACCTGATCTCTCCAATGATTCTGAAAAATACAGGCTGTTAGCAAAGTAGGGTTTGGGGAAATTGTGTTGGTTGTGGTCCCTTATTTCTTGCTGGCTCCATTGTGGGGTATAAGAGGGGGAAGAAAAGTCAGTGCAGTGCTGTGTTGCTCTTTTCCACAGGCACCCTTTGGGCTGAAGATTCACAGCGGGATGTGCAGCTTTGCTCTCCAGAAACGAGACAAACGTGGCTGGGGAGAACAATGAGGCTGCTGCTGTGGGTTCAGAAGCCCTTAAAAATGAGTTGTAATTTGAGATGCTCAACTTGCAGCAGCTTCGGGGAGAGTCAGGGTTATTTTTGGGTCTGAATCGAGCGCTGTGCACAGAGGCCCCTCCGGAGCTGGAGGGGGCTGGAGCAGCTGTGGCTGCTGCATCCCAGGGCCATGGCACACTTCTCTCACTTGGAGTGCCCATTCTGCAGCCTGGCTGCAGTTTCCAGACATTTAATTGAAGGCTTGATGATGCTTATATTTCTTGTGGGGGGGGAAAGGGAGGAGAAGGCATTTTTGTTTTGTTTCTTCTTTCTGTCCCATCTTCGTGGGGCTGCCGCTGGAAGTCAGTGGGGTTTCCTGGGAAAGCCTGCCCTGGTGCTGTGGCTGTGCTGTGTAAAACTGGGCTTGGGCTGCCAGGAGAGGTTCCTGCTGAGCCCCGTGCTGGCAGTGAGGTACCTGTGTGTGTAACCCCTGTGTCGAGGTGTAATGTCATAAAAACCATTGAAAACGACCAGGGAGAATTGTACATTACACACAGCAGTGTTGTCTGGTTATTTGCTCTTTTTCATTCTTTCCTTGTCAGTAAATCTCACCCAAGTGTGGCATTATGGGATGGGGGCAGCCCATGCAAGCGCTGAATAACCATGAGCACAAACCCATCCATGGAACTGTGTGAAAGGCCTTCATCTGAAACAAGTCCATTTATCCTGGGAATCCTGACTTCACTAATAGCAATGACCACAGAATGAATTGTGGGTTTTTCCCTTGTTCTTCTGTCCTGATTTAAAAGCATTAACATCAAACTGCATGTGGGAGATGTTTCTTTTGCTTCTTGCACAAATCAGCTTTGTAATGTAACTTAGATGCTTCAGAGTTGCAGAGCCTTTTAAGTTCAGGCCTTTGGTGGTTCAGTGGGTGATCTGTAGCTCTGATTTCTGTCCAAGGCAGCGTTGCTGTCCTTCAGCTTTCTTCTTCATAATGGGAATTAATGGAGCAATGAGGGACTGTCTGGCAGGACCAGGAACTGGTGTAATTGCTTGTTTTTATGGAGATGCTGGGTGTTAACTTCGTGGCCATTAATTGAAGATTGCCCCCTTGGATCCCTGTGAGTTCCTGGAGAAAAGAGCTGGGAGAGGGGCAGGGAAGGAGCATTTCCACAGTGGGAGCTGCTCAGTGTCCCCCTGTCCCCTGGCAGGGACAGGGCTGGGAACAAAGGGGTTTTTGGTTAACGAGCAGGTGATTTTGTGTCCCCCACAGGTGGCTTTGCAATCGTGTTCCTGGTGAGGACGAGCAATGGGGTGAAGTGTGCCCTGAAGAGGATGTATGTCAATAATGAGTACGACCTGCAGGTCTGCAAGAGGGAGATCCAGATCATGGTGAGTGCCTGCTCTGGGCTGGGCAGCTTCTGCTCATGACCCTGCCTTTTCCTAGCAAAAACGGCTTTTATGCGGGAAATCCTGGCCTCTGGAGTGTGTGAAAATCTGGTACTGAACTATTTCTAAAGTTCCTGTTCAGGGGACAAGATAAGCCTGAAAAAGCCAGGGAATTGCAGAAAAGGAGGGGAGAGCTGCATGGCTTAATGGGAAAAGGAAGGGCAGAAGATGTGAGCATGGCTGGGGATGTTGGAATCCAGTCTCACAATCTTCAGTTGGGATCTCAAGACTTCAGCCTTTTAAACCTGATGAGAAAAGGCTGATGATTCTGATATCCCTGAACTGCAATCAGTGCATGAATGGCAGACCTCCATCCTGAGATAAATCTGTATCACAGCATCTTCTAATCCTGGGTTGGGATGAAGGTTATCTCTGCATCACTGAGGTTGGTAGATTAAAACTGTATTTGTGGGGTAGCTGCTGCCAGGGCTGTTGAAATGTAAAGTATTTGTAATAAGCTCTGGGATATTTCTCCAGATTATTGGGCCCAAGGATTTATATGATGGGATAGCTATTTTTAATAGCTGTTTCAAACTTAGCTTCCCTAAACAAAGACAAAATGGAGATGATCCAAATAGATTTGCCTAATCTTGTTTGCAGCGTGGTAGACGTGGAAGTGCCACTTTTGAAGTTGTATTCAAAGATACTGATGGGCATTTAGAGCAGCTGCCAGGTGGGGAGGGAAATATAAAATCCTCATTTTGTGAGTTTACCACTCGAGGTGCAGGTTTGGGGTGGATGTCAGAAACTCCTACCTGTAGCAATTCTGTGTGTGATTCCTGCAGTAGCTTTAAATGAGGTTAATACCTTTTAAGTGAGCTGCTGTAGTTTGGGATAGTGCAGGGAAGCTCTGGGCTGTGTGGGGAAATGTGAGATTAGATCTCACATCAAAGCTTGTTTACTGGGGTTTCATTGCTGCTGCTTTCTCTTGTCTTTGGTGCCTTTGGAATGGTGGCTGGTGGAAAGTGAGGATGAGGAGGGTCCATGGTGTGGATGGGGCTGGTCCATGGTGTGGATTTAGCTGGTCCTGATTGTGGCTGGTCCATAGTGGGATTTTGGTTGGTCCATGCTGTGATCTTGGCTGGTCCATGGTGTGGATGGGGCTGGTCCATGGTGTGGATGGGGCTGGTCCTGAATGTGGCTGGTCCATGGTGGGATTTTGGCTGTTCCACGTGTGATTTTGGCTGGTCCATGTGTGGATGGGGCTGGTCCTGAATGTGGCTGTTCCTTGTGTAAATTTGGCTGTTCCATGTGTGATTTTGGCTGGTCCCTGTGTACATTTGGCTGTTCCACGTGTGGATTTGTCTGTCTTGCAGCGGGATCTGTCTGGCCACAAGAACATCGTGGGCTACATCGACTCCAGCATCAACTCAGTCAGCAGTGGGGACGTGTGGGAGGTGCTGATCCTCATGGACTTCTGCCGGGGTGAGTGGGGCTGGGCACGGGGTGGGGTTTGTCCTTCTGTGCCTGCAGGGACCTTGCACATCTTCCTTTGGAGCAAGAGCTGTCCCTGAGCTGTTCTGAGCTGAGCAAACCAGGTCTAGGACTGACAGTGGGATTGGTGCCATCTTTGCTGCTGCCCAGGGTGGTCCTGTACCCCTCTGCTGTGAAGGAGAACCCTTAAATGCATCTTGCTGTTGTCTTTAGGATGCTCCACACAAGAGGTGGCTCCTCTTAAGCAGCCAGGAGTGTAATTTTTCTTCACTTTAATCTCATTGCAAGCTTTGTTCCACATCAGCCTGGCTAGGATTGTTCTGGAAGAAGCAGGACATGGATAATGGGCGGCCAAAAAGCATTCCTCTTACCTCTGACCTTTTTGCTTGGCTGTCTGTAGCCAGACAGGCTGTTCCATCTGTCCCAAGGCTTTGATCTTTGTGGCTGGATGTGGTGTTTGGAACATGATGCATGTGCTGGGCTCAAATTCTGTCTTCTCACAGAAGAGCGTTCAGCAAAAATAATGTTTTGGCCAGGTGACTTCAGGAGCCTGTGGCTGGTTTGGGTGGTGGCAGCTGATGGAAATGGGTATTTTTGGGCCTGTCTGGCTTTGAACTCAAGAGCATGGTAGCATTTTCACACATATAGATGTGTGTGAGCAGGCCCAGTGCAGGCTGCGGTTCTGCCACGTCCTCTTTGCTGCTTTGTTTGCTGGTGAGAGGAGGAACTTTTGGGGCAGTTTTGCTAAAGGAATCACCCACAATATCTCTTCAAGCTTCAGGCTGGTGTTAGCACAGGCCTGGCAGTGCTGGCACATCCCTGCTCAGCCCCATGTGCAGAGCCCACCGTGAGGGAGGTCCAAACCTGAGCTCTCCACAGACCCACCAGTGCAGCACCCACATTTTGGGCTGATGAGTTAAACCCATCTCTGTGAGGAGTTTCCTCCCATCTGCAGGGAGGTGGCTTTTCTCACGTGGCTCTTGCCAGATGCTCTGCCTGCAGCCCTCCCCTGCAATGCTCGTTACTCTCTGATTTTCCCTTGTTACTTTCCTTTTGTGGCCGGCAGTTTCCAAACCAAATCAGTGCCTTTGTGTGCAGAACTGCATTCATTTTGGGTGTAAAATGTTCACAGCTGTAGTATTCATTAAACTGAGCTTTTCTTTCCTACCACGAAAGTTTTCCAGCCTTGTGATGTGGAATGATGCAGTCCTGCTTCACCAGAGCCTCAGAAAGGAGATTTTCTCTGTCTGTCTGGGGCATTTAGAGGAGGAAAAACCCTCAGGATTGTTTTGGAAAGGCCTTGACAGCAACAAAACCCCAAAGCTGAGACAAATCCAGGACTCGTTCCTGAAAACTTGCTTTTGTTTGTGCAGAGTTTCCCTTGTTACAGATGGATTTTTAATTCTTTGCAGTCAACAGCTTCAGCCAAGCCACTTACCGTGTGGGTTTTCTGTGTGTCTCCCTTGCTCCCTGCTCTTGCTTACGTGAGGCAGACTAATCCATGGACTGTGGGTGCCCCAAATCCAGCCTTTTATTCCTCTGGTCAGACAAAAGAAGTCCTATTTGGAAGAAAAATAAGAAAATGAGTCCCGAGCTCGGTGTCACTGCTGTGACTGGGGACTCCGAATCTCAGTGTCCTGCTGTGGTTTGGGATGGTCAGAGCTCGGTGTCCTGTTGTGGTTTGGGATGGTCAGAGCTGTGTCCTGCTGTGGTTTGGGATGGTCAGAGCTGTGTCCTGCTGTGGTTTGGGATGGTCAGAGCTGTGTCCCTGCTGTGACTGGGGATGGTCAGAGCTGTGTCCCTGCTGTGGTTTGGGATGGTCAGAGCTGTGTCCCTGCTGTTACTGGGGATGGTCAGAGCTCAGTGTCCTGCTGTGGTTTGGGATGGTCAGAGCTCACTGTCCCTGCTGTGACTGGGGATGGTCAGAGCTGTGTCCTGCTGTGGTTTGGGATGGTCAGAGCTGTGTCCTGCTGTGGTTTGGGATGGTCAGAGCTGTGTCCCTGCTGTGACTGGGGATGGTCAGAGCTCACTGTCCCTGCTGTGGTTTGGGATGGTCAGAGCTCACTGTCCCTGCTGTGACTGGGGATGGTCAGAGCTCACTGTCCCTGCTGTGGTTTGGGATGGTCAGAGCTGTGTCCTGCTGTGGTTTGGGATGATCAGAGCTGTGTCCCTCCTGTGGTTTGGGATGGTCAGAGCTCAGTGTCCTGCTGTGGTTTGGGATGGTCAGAGCTGTGTCCCTGCTGTGACTGGGGATGGTCAGAGCTCGGTGTCCTGCTGTGGTTTGGGATGGTCAGAGCTGTGTCCCTGCTGTGACTGGGGATGGTCAGAGCTCACTGTCCCTGCTGTGGTTTGGGATGGTCAGAGCTGTGTCCCTCCTGTGGTTTGGGATGGTCAGAGCTCAGTGTCCTGCTGTGGTTTGGGATGATCAGAGCTGTGTCCTGCTGTGGTTTGGGATGATCAGAGCTGTGTCCCTCCTGTGGTTTGGGATGGTCAGAGCTGTGTCCCTGCTGTGATTGGGGATGATCAGAGCTCAGTGTCCTGCTGTGGTTTGGGATGGTCAGAGCTGTGTCCCTGCTGTGGTTTGGGATGGTCAGAGCTGTGTCCCTCCTGTGGTTTGGGATGGTCAGAGCTGTGTCCCTGCTGTGGTTTGGGATGGTCAGAGCTCAGTGTCCTGCTGTGGTTTGGGATGGTCAGAGCTGTGTCCCTCCTGTGGTTTGGGATGGTCAGAGCTGTGTCCCTGCTGTGATTGGGGACCCCATATCTCACTGTCCTGCTGTGATTTGTCACCCCACCCCTCCCTGTGTGTCCTGCAGGGGGGCAGGTGGTGAACCTGATGAACCAGCGCCTGCAGAGCGGCTTCACCGAGAGCGAGGTCCTGCAGATCTTCTGCGACACCTGCGAGGCCGTGGCCAGGCTGCACCAGTGCAAGACCCCCATCATCCACAGGGACCTGAAGGTGAGCTCTGCCCCGGGGCTGCAGCGGGGAGCTGCTGGCACCCTCCTGCCCGTCTGCCAGCTGCCCACGCCGTGCTTCTGCTGCCGGTAATGAGGGGAAGTGGGCACAAGCACACCTCTCTGCTGGGAGATAAAAACAGAAACGAGCCTCTCGCTGCTGCCTACCATATGTTTGCCATCTATAGATCTGCTTAAACACAAATGTTTGTGAATAATTGTGGCTTGCACACGTGCCAGGCTGTACCTGATGAATTATTCACAGTGGCCTGAAACGCTGCTTTATTTAAGGTAGCTCACAGAATTGTTTCCAGATTAAAAGGAGCTCTTCAGAAGTGTTGGCCTTGGGGCAGGAATCCTTAGGAGCTTTTGAAAGTGGCCTCTGGAGCTCTGACCAGGAAAGTGTGTTGTAAAACTCTGTGTGCTTAGCTGGGAGCAGAGCTGGGCCAGCTTGGGGAAAATCCCCCACCTGTAACCCAGCAAACAGAAAGATGTTCCCTTTGCTCTCAGGGAGCTGGGATGAAACACCCAGCCAGGAAGGAGGCTGCTGTGTGCATTTGAAATTCAGATGTGCTCTGTGGGGCAGGTTCTATTTTCAGAGCCCTCACAGATGTTTGTTTGTGCCACTGGCCATTGTTTTACATGCCACGTGTAGGAAGGAGAGCCAGGTAGAGCAGGGGAAAACATCCCCGGGGTTTGGTGTGCTGTGGCATGTCTGAAATGACAGTGATGCCACTCTGAGTCACTTTGGATGCAGGAGCAGCTCTGTGTCTGTTCCCAGGGGTGATCTCTTGCCATCAGTCCTGGATTTAAGGCTGTAAAGTTTGTGTAGGTCAGGAAAGCAAGGTGAGGACCAGGAGCACCCCAGCTGACATTAACCCTGCCCTTACCTTTCTGGTGAGCCCCTGGGGGTTCATACAGAACAAACTCAGGGTGTTATAGGGGGGTAAATCTGGGACAGCTGTGCTGCATTAGTGAGTGGATCTGTGGTGTTGCTTTTCCCTGAGTTGCTCTTGGTGTCCAGCCCACCGGGTTTTGTAAGCTGTGCCCAGGGTCAGGCTTGGCTCTTCTCTGCTTGGAGACGTGTTTTCTGCTTGAGCAGTGTCTTGTTTGTGTCATGGTGACCTCTGGGGATCTAAGCACTAACACAGAATTAATATCTGTGTATATTTTGACTTTATTTGTGTAAAAGTGGAACACTGTCAAGGGGCAGTTGCAAAGCCAGGAGAGATGAAGGGCCAGAGAAGTTCAGTACAAGTTCTGGGTGTCAGGAAGAACACGTAGGTGTTTTCTTGGGGTGAATATCACCCTGCTGAAGAGGGGCAGATGTTGGCTTGCAGGCAGCTGGCCCTGGAGCCCTTTTTTGCCTTGCAGCTCTTTGATGCTGCCCTGGAGCTGGAGGTTGCTGCCAGCAGCAGGGAGGCTGTGAATGAGCTCCCAGCCATTCACACAAGTGCAGCTGGAGCAGTTTCCCTGCCCCTGGCTCTGACTGTGAATTGACCCAGAGCAGAGCAGCCTCCTGTTGGCACAGGCCCCAGCTGGTGGAGGTGACCAGCAGCTGGGGACAGCAGCACCTTCACCCAGCATTTCGGGAGTGAGGATCCTGTGTCACCCCTGGCTGTGCTCAGGGCTGCAGCTTCCTGAGTGTTTCACAAGAATAAGACACCTTCATACTCCTTTTGAAGCCACTTTTCTCTGGCCTGGCAGTGGTGGCAGTGATTCCTTTTGCTGTGTTTATTTTTTTTCTTTCTCCTGGCGTCTGCTGATCGCACCTGGTTGCTGGATGGTCCCGTGCTGATGTGTGACAAACCTGAGTGAGGAATCAGCCTGCTCAGGCAGAGACAGGGGGAGGGCTCCTGGGGAAGTGTTGGAGGAGTGCTTGCAGGGAATAGCAGGGAATAAGAGGGCCAGTGTTGCTGTGCTGGGGAGAACATCTGTGTGCAGGCTTTATTCAGAGCAGATGGATGGCACAGGGGAAGGGGCGTGTTTAACCCTTGGGTTCCAGCCAGCCTTCTCCCCCCCAGCTGCTCTAATTTGGCTGCATTTTCCGATGCTTAAAACGCTGACTCCTTCTTTTTCTTTCCTTCTTGTAAAGACCATCCTTGATGGGGAGCTCTGCTTCCAAAAGGTTTTGTTAGCAAACGCTTATGTGGTGATTTTTTATTTATTTTGAGCTCTATGAGCAGCATGTTTTATCTCGTTGTTGTATCTGAGCGTTTGACACTGATTGAAGATAAAGACATGAAAAATGGTGTGTTCCCTCCAGAGAACATGCTGTTAGTGCTGCTGCACAGATGAGGAGCTGGAACACAGGGATGCTCTGCCAAAGCCAAGATCTGAGCACAGGGTTTCACACATTTACAGTCAGTGTTGGAACAGGCAATTTCCTTAGGTGGGTGCAAGGTAGAGTTTTGTTAATGCACAGGGGAAGGTTTCTGCTGATTTTATTGGTTTCTGTTGCCTGATTGAAGGTACCAAATAATGTTTGAAAGAAAGGGGTCTCAGCCCCTGTTCAGGGACTGTGGGCACCCAGCAGACTCTGAGAACAAGCCAATAAATGTGAGCATGAGCTGAGGTTTGTTTTGAATGGGACCCTCAGGGTCAGGTGAGATGCAGGCAAAGACCTGGAGATGTGTTTTAATTTCATAAACATGGAAGTGTGTGTTGTTTGCCTGCCCCGTGGACTGTGAGGAGTTACAGCCTCTGTAAATCTGGGGCAGTTTGGATTTCCTGTCCCCAGTTCAGGTGCCAGACCAGGGCCACAGTAGCTCAGGAGCCTTCAGCTCCGAAGGCACTGGGACACTGAAGCCTTACAGAGGCAGGGAGATGGGTTTGCAGGAGGAGAAGGGAGGGGTGGCAGCATGGAAGGCAGTGTTACAGCTGTGCCTCCATGATTTGATGTCTATTTTAGGAGATGTGACAGTTTTGATGCCTGTTTTCTTTGCTGTCACTTTTAGACTTCAGTGTCAGAGATGTCTGATATGTCTTCAGGCACTTAAAACCTTGACTCATCTGAAAAAAAAAGCCAAACCGTGAATATTCTTTTGTCTGAGTGATTCTGTGTCTGTCTGTGATGCTCCAGGTTGAAAACATCCTGCTGCATGACCGTGGCCACTACGTCCTGTGTGACTTTGGGAGTGCTACCAACAAATTCCAGAACCCTCAGACAGAGGGGGTGAATGCAGTGGAGGAGGAGATCAAGAAGTAAGTGTGCTGTGCCTGTCCAGCCCGGTGTTTGTGTTTTCAGGGTGATTTCCCTCGTGCTGGGGCTGGCTTTGCTCAGCCTGGTGCAGCAGATTGGCTGTGCTGCATGGCAGTGTCTGCTGCAGGTGAGTGAGTGCCCGGGGGAAGGTGAAACAATAAATGTAATTGCTTTGGAGCTGGGATTAATGCAGAGCAGCAGCCCCTCCTCCAGGCAGTGACCTGCTGTGTCCTGGGCAGGGTCAGGCTGTCTGTCCTTCATCCCCTTGGCTCCTCTGAGCCCCAGGCTGGGCTGGCACAGTCCCACCCTGTGGGATCTGGGCTGCTCAGGGCAGTGCCAGCTCCTCCTCCTGCCCCAGCACTGCCAGCTGTCCTGGCAGCATCTCTGGTGCCCCTTTGGAAAAGGGGTTCACCTGCAGCTCAGGAGCCCTGGGCCAGGGGTGGAGCGCACTCCAGCTCCTTGGCCCTGCTGTAGTTCTAACATCCCTGCTGCAGACTGGCCACTGCTGCTAATCCAGTTAAAAATGGGTACAGGTGTCTCTTTTTTGCTGGGATTCAGCTACACCTCCTGGATTTCCTGGGTTTGTTTGAGTGGAGTTCTGAGAGTGCTCCTAATCCAGCATTGCAGTGCCCTGGAGTGCCCTGCTTGCACACCTAAGCCTACAAAACCTTTGCCTTTGGCAATGCTTTCCTGTGCTCAGGTGAGCAGCAGGAGCAATGACAGACCTGCTGGCAGGAAATCTCATCAAAGAGGAGCCTCATCATCTGTGGAGCAGTTTGCAGCTTTCCTGTTTTTGTGATCTGCTAAGATGAGGCAGATTCTCACTGTGGTTTGAGGCACACAGTGACCCATCCCTTCCACAGTGGCTCTGAGCAGGACTCCTGGTTGGAAATCTCATTTTTGGGAGCCACGTATCCAGTTGCAATCTCTGTGATACAGCTGGGCACAGCCTTGCAGTGAGGGCATTGCAGAGGACATTTGGTTACTGACCTTGTTAATGCTTTGAATCCTTGGATGGTTCTGTTCTTGAAATGACTGCACATTTTGTGGTGAATTCTGTGCTTTAGAGAGGATTGTGGTTGTTATTTAATTCTGTGCTGTAGAGAGGACTGTGGTTACTGTTCTGGCTGCCCAGGGCACTTTGAGGGGTGTTTTTCACTGTTTGAGGTGTGTAGCAGGGGATGCTCTTAGAGCATTTTTCCAGTAGATAATCTTTAGCATCTCTTTCCTTGAAATGAATAGGGGAAAAGTGAATTTTGGGTTGTTTGGGAATGTGACAAACCTGCTGTCCCCCTTTGAACCCCCGACCCTCCTTTCCCTGCAGGTACACGACGTTGTCCTACAGAGCCCCCGAGATGGTGAACCTGTACAGTGGCAAACTCATCACTACAAAAGCAGACATTTGGGTGAGTATGGAAGCCCTGGGCATCCTTGCACTGCCAGGGCAGGGAAACAGGGCTGGCCTGCTTTTCTGGGGGCCTGGGCAGTTCCTGAATGCAGAATTCCTCTGGTGGTGTGTGTACTGAGCTCCTGCTGCATACAGACATGTGTGCTCCTCCTGTGTGCTTTGAGTTGAGAGATGGATCAAACTCCAGGGCTCAGTGGGGCAAACCTGATTTTGTATCTCAAATCAGACAATTCAGGGTGTTGTGGCACCAGGTTGTTGGTGTGTGGAATCAAAGTTCTGCTCAGAATTGAGTGGGAGCCTGATGAAATGGCCCTGCCCCAGCAGCTGCGGTGTGCTGATCTGTGTCACTCAGGGCTGAGGTGCCAGACTGGCCAGAGGCCAAACTCTGCACTGTCTCTGGTGATCAGGGCAGTCCTGCCGTGCTCCTTCTTCATGGTGGGAACAGGATCCAGCTGTGGTGGAATCCATTCCTGGCTCTCCTGCTCTCCTTTGGTGAGAAACAGTCTGTGCTGTTTGGAGTGGCAGTTCAGCACGTGTTTAAAGGTGTTTAAAATGCTAACTGGGAGCATTTTTGTGTTTTTTGGAGCCCTGAGCTAGGGGGTAACATGGTAGAAGCAGAAAAACAGAGTTTTGATCTATGTTCAGTGGTTCTGCATCTACAAGAGGGAGAATTGCTGAATTGCCCTCAGTGAGCAGCTCCTGTGGTGGGAGCAGCTGGAGCCAGGGGTGTGTGGGGTCAGCCCTGCCCTGGGCAGTGCCAGGGGAAAGGACAGGGCCCCAGGGCAGCCAGAGCAGGACCAGGACCTGCACTCCCTCCTGGGGCCGGGGGGAAAGGGGAGATCCAAAGGCTCTGCTGTTCCTGGCATGGCAGGAGCTGGGTTCCATGGCACTTGGAGCACGTCCAGAGCAGTGTTTGGTGGTGGGGCCTCAGCTTCCAGGCCTGTTCCAGTGCTTGTCCTGCTGGGAGCCTCCCTTCCCCTGAGATGCTGGCCAGGTTGTTTAAGCCAGCCTGCAGTTTCATTGTGAAATCCTGTGACAAGAGAGATGAGCTGATGAGGAGATTCTCAGGATTAGGAAATGTTTCCTGCTCCCCGCTCTGAGGTGGGGGGAGTGTTTCATAATTAGCCCTTTGTGCAAAAACGGTTTGCTTTTGCAATAGGTGGTGGCTCTTGGTGCCAAAAGCAGCGTGGCAGTGGAGGGAAGGGTGGCAGAACCTGGCAGCCTGCAGAATGAGCTGTACTTCCCTGGCATTTATTTATAGCAGCTGAAAGGTTGTTTGGGCTTAATCTTGGAAGCAGTTTGGGTTTCTCGTTGTCACAATGGGCTCATTAATGATGATGGTTGCCATTTGTTTGTGCTGTTGCTTTGCTCTTTCCTCCCAGAGCGTGGCAGAGAGGCTTTGCCTGTTCAGTGGCACTCAGGGCCGTGTGATGATGATGATGATGATGACCAGTCCCCCAGAGCAGAGCCTGATGGGGGAGAGCTCTGCCTGTTGGTGTTCCCTGCAGCTGGGGCTGTGCCAGGTCCCTCACAGGGTGCTGGGGCGGGCCTGGCACCAGCAGGAGCCCAGATCCACCGTGCCCAGTGTTGATCCCTGCCCTGTTCTCTCTCTGCAGGCCCTGGGCTGCTTGCTGTACAAGCTGTGCTACTTCACCTTGCCCTTTGGGGAGAGCCAGGTGGCCATTTGTGATGGCAACTTCACCATCCCAGACAACTCGAGGCACTCGCAGGACATGCACTGCCTCATCCGTGAGTGCCTGCAGGGCTCTGCCCCAGACCAGGGGCTCTGTCCTTCCCAGGGCTTCCCTGCACACTGGGGGGTTAAAGGGACCTTGGGCTGCTTTGGGAGTGATCATGACAGAGATTTCAGTCTGGCCAGGCTGGAGGGAGCCAGTGGAAGGGCAGGAGCACACACAGCTGTTTGCTGTGGGCCCTGCACAATCAGCCCATTTATGCAGAAACGTATTTCTGCTGTAATAAATCTGTTTGGATAAGGAACTGAAAAGACCACAGTGACTTAGGCTAGTGATAAGAATTCATCTCCTGTGAACTGGGAAACAGAACTGAAATGATTTATAAATATCCCACTGACTGGAGTGAATGTGTAATTAAGTGTACAATGCACTACTCTTGGCAAAGCTGGGGCAGCTCTCTTGTCTGCAGCACAGCTTTTGATTTTTTCCCTCTCCCTAGCCACAGCCTTGACTCACACAGAGCTGGGTGTGTTTGCAGAGCAGGCTGGTGTTTTCCTGGCTGCTGTGGGCTGCCTGCAGTGGCTGCCCTGTCTCCCTGCCCTGCTGGCACTCCAGGGCACATTAACCCTTTTCCTGTGCTTGCCCTGGAAGTGCCCAGTCCCACCCAGAGCTGTTCCTGTTCCCTGGCCAGGCAGCGTTTCCCCCCCCTGCCCCAGAGCCTTGGGGGTCCCAGCTCTGGGGGGAGATGTGTCCTGGTCCATGCTGGGTGTGCTGCCCTGTTCTGAAGGAGGCAGGGCTCTGTTAGCTCCTGGTTGTACCAAATGTGGAGTTGGGTGGGTTGGAGGGAGCTCAAAGCCCACCCAGTGTCACCCTGCAATGAGGGGACACCTTCCACTGTCCCAGGTTATTCCAGCCTGGCCTTGGGCACTGCCAGGGCTCCAGGGGCAGGCACAGCAAACCTGGGCACCTGTGCCAGGGCTGCCCATCCTCAGCACAGAAGATTCCTGTGTGGTATCAATGATGTGCTGCCCTCTGTGTGTGTGCTGCTGCTCTGATCTCTGCATCTCCGTCTCTTGCAGGGTACATGCTTGAGCCAGACCCTGATAAGAGACCTGACATTTATCAGGTCTCCTACTTTGCATTCAAGCTGGCCAAGAAGGAGTGCCCAGTGCAGAACGTCCAGGTGGGCAGGGGGAGGCCTGAGGGGGCTCTGGGAGGGGCTGGGGGCAGCTGATGGACACTGAGCACTTTGCTCTGTCCTCTGGGTTGGTCCCCAGTCCTGTCATCAGGAGGGTCCTGTTTGTAACAGCACGGTTTGGGTTGGATTTTTGGGTCAGAAATCAGGGTTTCTCATTCTCTTTGTCCCTGATTTACCTCCTCACCCAGTCACCAGCGTGAGGCCAAGCAAGAGATCTTGTGCATGTGAACATGGAAAATTAGGCCATGCTTGGGAAAGCAGTTTGATTTCCAGGCACTCTGATCATAGCCTGTGTAATTTGGCCTGCACTTGGGTTTGAGCAGCAGTTCTGGGACTTGGCATTTGGACTCCATCTGCCCCTTCTTGCTGTGTCTTCAGGGACTTCAGCTGGGAAATTGAGTGGGCAATTATTTTCTTACATTGTTATGGGCACTGTGACAGACATTTTATTTTGTTGTTTTTTCATAAAGAGAAATTAGGGTTTTTCCCCTATGCTCAGGTGCTTATTTGTGGTCTTTATGAATAAGAGGTAGTTTGGGTTCTATTGTGCCTGTGGTTTTATAGCATCATTAATAAATTTTGTCACTGCTGTCGTCTGACAGTCTTTTAGAAATGTCTTAAAAATGACATGTCTTTTAAAAATTTGTGCTGTGGAGCTTTATGTTCATATTCCATGTTCAGTGGTCAAAAAGCTGAGCCCTCTTTTGTTCCCTTGTAAAGACTCCCCCAAGCTCATGTCTCCCCATGACATGAACCTTTTGTGGTGGTGTTTGTTGTGTGTCCACATGAGGAGTAATTGCTTTGGGAGTCCCCAGTTCTCTCTGTTTTATTGTGATGTTTTTGCACATTATTTCTGACTCTGTTTTCTGCCCTCGAAATACTGAACTGGGCATTTTTGGGTTCTGCAGAACTCTCCAATCCCTGCTAAACTCCCAGACCCAGTTAAAGCAAGTGAAGCTGCTGCAAAGAAGAGTCAACCAAAGGCCAGGTAACCCCACCTGCTTTTTACTCCCTCTTTTGCTGCCTGTTGTCTCTGCTGGTTATTAGCAAAGGTGGATTCAGCTTCCTTGGGGACTTCAGTTGCTCAGTTACTCTCCCTGACTCAGAAACAATCTGATATCAGGTTCATTGGCTATCAGTTTGGTATCTCCAAACCACAGAGGGCTGGGGGCACGGCTGCTCCTCTCTCTTGCTGTGCATTTTTGGAGCTCGGTGAACCCTGAGCAGAGATCAGGAGGGTTCAGTGGTTCTGGGCTGGATGTACCAAAGTTAAAGTGCACCCAAAGATGGCAGTTCAGACAGCTCTGCCCAAAGGTACCAGCTGCTCATGAGCTGATCTGTGTCCTTCATGTGCTCATTCAGAAGTCTGGGTGGTTTCAAGCAATATGTTGTAGGAAATGGTTGGATATAAGCTGAGTGGTTTTGACAAGTCCCAGCTGTCCACCAGCGGAGGATGCCACGAGTGGCAGAGAAGTCAGAGGGACAGTGTTGGGTTAATTGTGGTGAATGCATGCAGGAGTTTCGCTGTGCCTGGGTGCCCATGAGGGTTTCACCTGTGTCACTCCCACCCAGCTGAGGTGTGGGTGAGTGTTTGCCCCTGCTGTGTGTTCTGTGTCTCTGTGCTCACTGCCCTTCCCTCTCCTCCTCCCTGTGCAGGCTCACAGACCCCATCCCCACGACAGAAACGTCCATAGCGCCCCGGCAGAGGCCTAAGGCAGGACAGACCCAGCCCAACCCTGGCATCCTGCCCATCCAGCCAGCCCTGACGCCCAGGAAGAGAGCCACAGCCCAGGCAGCCCTTCAGCCCCAGGGTGAGCGCTGTGTCCGTGTGCCGCCTGCCCCGTGTGCCTCGGGCACTGCCCTAACCCTGCCCTTGGTTCTGTGCCAGCTGCAGGCCCGGCTGCCCTGGGCAGTGCCCAGCCCTCCAGCACGCCCCAGGCTAAAGCAGCGCCCCAGCAGCCTCCAGCCCAGCCCCAGGCCAAGCCAGCAGCAGCAGCAGCGCCCCAGGCACAGCCCCAGGTGCCCTCCACACAGCCCCAGGCCACCCCTCAGCATCAGCAGCAGCAGCTTTTCCTGAAGCAGCAGCTCCTGCAGCAGCAGCAGCAGCAGCAGCAGCAGGCTGCCTTCTTCCAGCAGCAGCAGCAGCAGCCACAGATGATGCAGGCTCAGCAGGTGGGTGGTGCAGCAGGTTTGTCACATCTGTGTCTGCAGGGCTGTAGCTCTGTGTTTCCTGCTCTTTTGGGGGGACTGGGTGCAGCTTTTGGGCATTTCCCCAGTCCTCTAGCAGGGTTTGCTCTAGGTCCTTCACACCTGCAGCCTCTCAAGCTGCAATTGTTCCCCAGTTCCCAGTGATGCAGCAAGGAGCGCCCGCGCAGCAGCAGCAGCTGATGCAGAACTACTACCAGCAGCAGCAGCAGCAGCAGCTGCTGGCCCAGCAGGCAGCTATGCAGCAGAAGACCACAGCAGCAGCAGCAGCAGCTCAGCAGAAGCAGCAGCCCCAGGCCCAGCCTGGCTCAGCACCCCCAGCACAGCCACAGGAGCAGGGGGTGAGACCTTGGGGCCCTGGGACTTGGCTACAGCTGCTCCCCTGCCAGCTCCTGAGTGCTGCTCTGAGCCTTTCCACCTCTGCTCTGGGGCTCAGCCTCTCTACCCTGAGCAGGCTTGAGCCCAGCCAGCCTTTGCCAGGCCCTAATGGAGGTTTTACCTCCAGAGCTGCACCACAGAAAGGGGAGAGACTCTGCCTGTGCAGTAATCCTGCAACACTGCAGAGCAGCAAATCCCTTTGTTTGTCTGGTTTTTCCTCTCCAGACCATCCCCAGTCCATGGCTGGCATGCTGGGTGCTGTTTTCTCCCCAGTCCATGATTGGGACACTGGGTGCTGTTTCTCCCCAGTCCATGATTGGGACACTGGGTGCTGTTTCTCCCCAGTCCATGGCTGGGACACTGGGTGCTGTTTTCTCCCCAGTCCATGGCTGGGACACTGGGTGCTGTTTCTCCCCAGTCCATGATTGGGACACTGGGTGCTGTTTCTCCCCAGTCCATGGCTGGGACACTGGGTGCTGTTTCTCCCCAGTCCATGGCTGGGACACTGGGTGCTGTTTCTCCCCAGTCCATGATTGGGACACTGGGTGCTGTTTCTCCCCAGTCCATGGCTGGGACACTGGGTGCTGTTTTCTCCCCAGTCCATGGCTGGGACACTGGGTGCTGTTTTCTCCCCAGTCCATGGCTGGGACACTGGGTGCTGTTTCTCCCCAGTCCATGGCTGGGACACTGGGTGCTGTTTCTCCCCAGTCCATGGCTGGGACACTGGGTGCTGTTTCTCCCCAGTCCATGATTGGGACACTGGGTGCTGTTTCTCCCCAGTCCATGGCTGGGACACTGGGTGCTGTTTTCTCCCCAGTCCATGACTGGGACGCTGGGTGCTGTTTCTCCCCAGTCCATGCCTGGCACACCGTGTGCTCCCCCAGGAGCTGTTTTCTCTGCTGGCTGCAGTTCTAAGCGAGGTCGCTGTGCTTTCCTCCCCCGGCAGGCGCAGGCGCAGGCTCAGAGGCAGCAGCAGCAGCAGCAGGCCCAGGGGCAGGGGCAGAAGCCGGGCTCCCTGACGCCGCCCTCGTCGCCCAAGGCGCAGCGCGCGGGGCACCGCCGCATCCTCAGCGACGTCACCCACAGCGCCGTGTTCGGCGTGCCCGCCAGCAAATCCACCCAGCTGCTGCAGGCCGCGGCCGCTGAGGCCAGCCTCAACAAGTCCAAGTACGTGCCAGGGCCTGGGGGTCAGCCTCAGCACGTCTGAGTACGTGCCAGGGCTTTTGGGGCTCAGCTCTTGGTTGCAGGTGGGTTAATGGCTCTTGTTTGGGGTGACCCCATCCAGATCCGCTTCCACCACGCCCTCGGGCTCGCCAAGGACCTCGCAGCAGAACGTCTACAACCCCCCTGACGTGTCCACGTGGAACCCCTTTGATGATGACAACTTCTCCAAGCTGACAGCTGAGGAGCTGCTGAACAAGGACTTTGCCAAGCTGGGGGATGGTGGGTGCCCAGGGTGCTGTGACACCTGCTTGCTCTGGAAGGGAAGGTGCCATGGGGTGGGGATGGTTTGGGCAGGGAATGCTCAGGGACTGGGGATGGTTTGGGCAGGGAATGCTCAGGGACTGGGGATGGTTTGGGCAGGGAATGCTCAGGGACTGGGGATGGTTTTGGGCAGAGGATTAGGGATGGTTTTGGGCAGGGGATTGGGGATGGTTTTGGGCAGGGAATGCTCAGGGATTGGGAATGGTTTTGGGAACGCTCAGGGATTGGGAATGGTTTTGGGAACGCTCAGGGATTTGGGATGGTTTTGGGAATGCTCAGGGATTTGGGATGGTTTTGGGCAGGCACTGCTTGGGTGCCCCATATTGTTACAACCCTCTGGCTAAATCCTTCTAGGTGCTTTGTGTTTGCAGTTCTGTGTGCCTCCAAGGTAGGGGTACCAGCTGCTTTGACCGGTACTCAGGTGCCTGTGGGAGCTGCAGTTTAAACTCTGCTTCCTCTGCAAGTTGGGATTTGCAGCAAGGGCCTCGAGTGGAACAGTGTCCTGGAAGTACAGATGAGCAGCCTGCTGTCAGAATTGAATAGAAGTTCCAGAATCGAGGTTTCCCCCTAACTGTGGGTGTGCTTTGCAGGGAAGGCTCCAGAAAAGGCAGGCAGCTCCACAGAGAACCTGCTGCCAGGGTTCCAGCCCGCAGCCCCCACGGATGCCTTCGGTGGCTCCTCCTTCCCTGCTGGGCCAGGTGAGTCTGGGAGCATGGGCAGCTCCTGGCCAGAACCCTTGAAAGGGAAGGAAAATGCTGCAGACAGAGTGTGTGGGCACTGAGAGCTGCAGGGAACGGGGCTGGCACTTGAGGGGAGGGGGCAATGTCACAGCTGGGTGGACACTGTTTGGAGACAGAGGTGACGCTTGTGGTGAGGGAAGAAACTGAGCTCTGAGTTCCCAAGGAAGCTCCGTAGTGTGTGGAGGTTCCACGGGGCTCCTAACAAGGAGTAGAACCTGCTGTGTGCAGTGAGGGAGCTGGCTGGGAGCTGCTGCTCTGCGTGGAGGAGCAGAGACACAAAGATAACACCTCTGCTGCAGAGTGAGAGGAGAGCACAGCCCCATAACTGACATGGGCAGCGATGGAGGCAGTGATTTCTGCCCTGGCTGGGCTGTGTGGCTCCGCCTTGGCTGCTCTGAGGAGTTTCTCTGCCTGTGGGGCCTTGTCTGGCTCTCCTTTGGTCCTTGTGTCCCGGGGTTTTGCTGTGAGCAGGCCTTGTATGCCAGACACCCCTGGTGAGTGCTGCTGCTCATTTCCACTCCTTCAGCACCAGCCCTCCCTGGGGGCAGCTCAGACCTGCCAGGCACAGGTGGGAAGCTGCTTCCAGGAGCTCCAGGAGCCAGGGATCCTCCCCTGGTGACAGGGCTCCTCCTGGCTGGTGCCTCCCCACTGAGACAAAACAGCTCCTGGTGAGAGGAGTCTGGGCTGAAGAACCCTTTGTGGGGCAAGGAGTGACAAATCCATTTGTGCTTATTTCTATTTATAAAAGGAGATTTAGGGGAGCTTATAACTGAGCCTGGTGTGTTGGTTCTTACCAGAGAATGAAGGAGTTGGAGTCCCTGACACAGGAGTGCTCCTGGGGAGTTCCTTTCTGGGTTTGTCCACCTGTGAGCAGTTTCTGCTGTTCCATCAGCCTGTGTGGGTGATGCTGAGCAGCAGCAGCTCCACGTTGAGCTGTAAAATACCTTCTGCAAAGCCTGAGGAGCATCTGTGTGCTCTGTGGTTGCTGTACCATGGTCAGTTCTGCAGTGTCTGTGTTCCGACTGTGCCCCTTGGCTTCCCAGTGCTGGGCTTGGCATGGGAAGGAGCCTTGGGAATCTGGGCTGGGCACTTGAGCCCTTCTCTCTTTGCCCAGAGACAGGAGCCTGTCCCAGCCTGGCTGCTGGGATAGATTCTATTGCACACTGTGTGTCCTCTGTGAAACCTTTCACCTTTTGTGCTGCTGTGGAGGCAGATAACAGTTCCTCCCTGCCAGGAAATGTTCTGAGATCTGTGGGTCAAACTGTGTTGGAGAGCTGCATGGTAACAGTGGTTTTGTTTGGGTTTTTATTGTTTCCAGTGGCACACTTGGTCAGAGTGTGCCTGTGTGTGGCTGTGCCTGTGCTGGGGGTTTGTTCTGTGCTTTCTCCTTTTCGCTGTTCACTCTGCCTTTTCTTTTCCTTTCCTTTCCTTTCCTCTTCTCTACCAGCTGAAAAAACGAAAGACATTCTGAGCTTGGACTCCAGCCCTGCTCTGCTGACTGTGCCTGATCCTTTCACTCCTCTCCCGCTATCTGACACCCCAGGTAACCCGAGCCGGGGGAGGAGGGGACAGTCCTGCCCTTTGTTCTCTGGATCTCCTGCCTCTGTGCGGGCACACCTGAAGTGCCGGGCACTGCCGGGCACTGCCGGGCTCTGCCGGGCACTGCCGGGCACTGCCGGGCTCTGCCAAGCTCTGCCGGGCACTGCCAAGCTCTGCCGGGCTCTGCCTGGCTCTGCCGGCTCTGCCGGGCTCTGCCGGGCACTGCCGGGCTCTGCCGGCACTGCCGGGCTCTGCCGGGCACTGCCGGGCACTGCCGGGCTCTGCCGGGCTCTGCCGGGCTCTGCCGGGCACTGCCAGCACTGCCGGGCACTGCCGGGCTCTGCCGGGCACTGCCGGGCACTGCCGGCACTGCCGGGCACTGCCGGGCTCTGCCGGGCACTGCCGGGCTCTGCCGGGCTCTGCCGGGCACTGCCGGGCACTGCCGGGCACTGCCGGGCTCTGCCGGGCTCTGCCGGGCACTGCCGGGCTCTGCCGGGCACTGCCGGGCACTGCCGGGCTCTGCCGGGCTCTGCCGGGCACTGCCAGCACTGCCGGGCTCTGCCGGGCACTGCCGGGCACTGCCGGCTCTGCCGGGCTCTGCCGGGCTCTGCCGGGCTCTGCCGGGCACTGCCAGCACTGCCGGGCTCTGCCGGGCACTGCCGGGCTCTGCCGGCTCTGCCGGGCTCTGCCGGGCTCTGCCGGGCTCTGCCGGGCACTGCCGGGCACTGGGGCTGGTTTCCATGGCAGGGCTGGGTGTCCTTAGGGCTCAGCATCCCCAAAGGGATGGCAGGGCTGGAGCAATGTCCTGGAGGGAGAGCTGGGAGCTGGAGTTGTTCAGTCTGGAGCAGAGCAGGCTCCAGGGACACCTCAGAGCCCAAAGGGAGCTGGGGACAAGGGATGGAGGGGCAGGACCCAGGGAACGGCTCCCATTGCAGAGGGCAGGGATGGATGGATGTTGGGAATTGGGAATTGTTCCCTGAGGGTGCCCACCCTGGATCCCTGGCAGTGCCCAAGGCCAGGCTGGGCACTGGGGCTGGAGCAGCTGGGACAGTGAGAGGTGTCTGTGCCAAGGCAGGGGTGGGATGGAATGATGATTTAAGGTCCTTCCCAACACAAACCATTCCAGGATCCTGTGAGAAATAATCCCCAGGTGATTAATTACCTGCTTCTGGCTTGAGCTGTTTTCAAATGGCTCCCAACCATGAAATTGTAGGTTTTATTACTGTTAATCTTTCTTTCCTCCAAGAGTCAGTGTTTCTTTGGCTTCCAAAGTCTGTTGCAAATGTGAGCATCTTGAGAAGCACAAGTTCCATGTGACCTTTTCTGATTTGGCAAGGTTTTGCAGTGCAGTTGGTGCTATTTCATTTACTTTGCAGTGCTGCTTCTGAGCCTTTTCTGTGCACATTTCTGACTGCAGCAGCCAACACTTTTTAGCACAGATTATGTAAGTGCTTAGGAGCTCATTTGCAAATCGGTGGGATTTGGAATGTGGGGATGTTTTTATCCTGCAGCCTCTCTCTGTGAAGGTGTGAGCAGGTCCCAGTGTGAGCCCCAGAGCACAACTGCAGCTCCCATCCTCATCCTCAGCCCAGCTCTGGGTCACTGCTGCTTTGGAGCACCCAAAAAAGACAATTTCATGTGTTTGTTCTTGAATATTTCCAAGGCCTGGGGCTGCAGAGTTTCCTTGGCTTGGAAACGGAGAGGGTCTGTTTGTAAATTCAGCAGAAAGGATCAAACTCCTGGATTGCAGCTCAGGTTCTCACCTGGCTAAAGCTCAGCTCAGGCACAAACCACCTCCCCTTGGCACCTGGAGGTGCAGGTGGCATCACCTGAGTGCCTGCCACACCTTGCAGGGCACAGGGGCAGGGCTGCTGTCACTGTGTCCCTCCTCCTCCTCCCTGTGTAATGGCTGCAGTTAAAGGAATTGTAACGAGGAAGAGGAGCTGGCAAGAGGGATGTAAAAATATGGCAAAACATCTGTTAAAACAAGGGAGAATTAAATATTCATGCTGAAAACATATTTCCTTGTGTATGGGCAGGAAAATGAGCCAAGTTGTTCTTAATGAGCTTATTTCAGGCTTCAGCACTGCCTGATCTGGGCTGTTGGTCAGGGGAGCTCCTGTGGGTCACTGGCTGATGCAGGGAGGGTATTTCATTTTTTTGGGAGCAGAACACTGGATGAGATGTTTTTAATCACCATAACTCTACTCCAGCCCATAAATTCTGAGGAGATAACTGAGTGCCCAGCTCTGCCTGGGTGTTGAGAACAGCTGCAATAAACAACTGTATTGCTGCTGAGGATTTATTTGCACCAAGATGACACGTTGAGATAAAGTAATTGCACATGCTCAATTAGGCATGCACAGCAGCTGTGGGTGTGCACTAATGATCTGAGCGTGCATCTTGAGTTGGGGAGATGCAAAAGGGCAGCTGCTCATGTGGGAACTGATGGAATTATTGCTGTGTTTACCGGGAGGACAAGGTGGGGGTGTGATGATTTAAGGCAGCAAATCCAGCAGACCACGAGAATCCAACTAGATGAGTGTAAAGAGCATCCAGTTCTCCTGCCTGGGCTTTCAGTTTGAGCTTAGGGGAGAATTTACTGCTTTACAAATATTTGAGGTCTTGAACGTGAGCCTGAAATTGCTTGGTTTTGCTCTCTTAAGGAGCCACTGTTTGTCACTGTTTAAAAAGAAATGACACAGAGTTATCAGAGGCCGAGTGGCCCAAGGGCCTCAGGGTGCACTGAGCTGCTCCTTTTGCACACTGGCCTGATACAGGTGGGCCTGAGCGGTCATTTACTCAATGCATTGCACCTGAAAGAATAATTATCAATATGATTGGTCCTTTACTCAATGCATTTCACCTGAAAGAATAATTATCAATATGATTGGTCCTTTACTCAATGCATTTCACCTGAAAGAATAATTAATGAGATGATTGGTAATTTACTCAATGCATTTCACCTGAAAGAATAATTATCAATGTGATTGGTCATTTACTCAATACATTTCACCTGAAAGAATAATTATCAATGTGATTGGTCATTTACTGAATGCATTCACCTGAAAGAATAATTATCAATATGATTGGTCATTTACTCAATGCATTTCACCTGAAAGAATAATTATCAATATGATTGGTCATTTACTCAATACATTTCACCTGAAAGAATAATTAACAAGATGCCCATTTGTAAACAATCTTGGAGAATAACAAGAAAACAGATATCAGGAAAACAACACTTGCAGGCTGTTTATTATAATTGGCTGTCATAGTTTATCTCCAGCTCCCTGAAGTCTCCCAGGCCAGTTGTGGGAGAGCTTTTTGAGCATTCTCTCTCTGAGCAGGGTGCCACATGCACAGCTGCTGGGTGTTGTCCCGTTAGCTCTGTGGTGTTTGCAGAGCCCCGATTCCCTTTCCCTGTGTTCCCCTTCTCTCCCTGCCCGTGCTGTGTGAGACCCAGCCCCGTTTCCCCAGCCCAGAGGGGTGCAGAGCCTTCCCTGGGCTGGTGCCTGGGCTGAGCACCAGGCAGGGCTGCTGTGCCTGCTCAGACTCCATTAGCCCTGGCAGAGCATTTCCCTGGGCTGAGCACCAGGCAGGGCTGCTGTGCCTGCTCAGACTCCATCAGCCCATGGCAGAGCATTTCCCTGGGCTGAGCACCAGGCAGGGCTGCTGTGCCTGCTCAGACTCCATCGGCCCTGGCAGAGCATTTCCCTGGGCTGAGCACCAGGCAGGGCTGCTGTGCCTGCTCAGACTCCATCGGCCCTGGCAGAGCATTTCCCTGGGCTGAGCACCAGGCAGGGCTGCTGTGCCTGCTCAGACTCCATCGGCCCTGGCAGAGCATTTCCCTGGGCTGAGCACCAGGCAGGGCTGCTGTGCCTGCTCAGACTCCATCGGCCCTGGCAGAGCATTTCCCTGGGCTGAGCACCTGGCAGGGCTGCTGTGCCTGCTCAGACTCCATCGGCCCTGGCAGAGCATTTCCCTGGGCTGAGCACCAGGCAGGGCTGCTGTGCCTGCTCAGACTCCATCGGCCCTGGCAGAGCATTTCCCTGGGCTGAGCACCAGGCAGGGCTGCTGTGCCTGCTCAGACTCCATCGGCCCTGGCAGAGCATTTCCCTGGGCTGAGCACCAGGCAGGGCTGCTGTGCCTGCTCAGAACTCCATCGGCCCTGGCAGAGCATTTCCCTGGGCTGAGCACCAGGCAGGGCTGCTGTGCCTGCTCAGACTCCATCGGCCCTGGCAGAGCATTTCCCTGGGCTGAGCACCTGGCAGGGCTGCTGTGCCTGCTCAGACTCCATCGGCCCTGGCAGAGCCCCGGGCAGTGCCAGACCCCTGCCCACCCCTGCCCTGGCAGGGTGTTCACAGCTGTGTTCTCTCTCCCAGCTGCCCCCCAGAGGAAAGGACTCTGCTGTGTGCTCTGCTGAGCTGGGTGTGCTGCCCAGGGCAGCCCTGCAGTGGGTGCCAGCCCTGCAGTGAGTACCAGCCCTGTGTGTGCCCCTGTGCCTGCTGGGCACCGTGTCCTCGCCCTGGCACACAGCTCTGCCCTCCGCTCCCTTTTAACTCGCAACGTTTCAGGAGTTCTTTCTAATAGCCTGCTCTAACCCCAAGCCCCTTTGCCTCTCTCATCTCTTGGTTGGTATTTTTGATGTGGATATTATTGATACTACCTTGGTTGGTGTTTTCTCCTAACTCTGGTGTTCCCTAAACTGCTTTCTGAGTGTTTGTGGCTGGAGGGGTGTGTGGGCAGCAGTGAAAGCAGCATGGCAGTGGAGGCTGCAGGTGCAAAGCCTGAGCAAACTGACTGTAAACCCATCAGGTGTGTGCAGGGTGCTGGGAAAGGGTCTGAGCTGGTGGAGGTGGTGTTTGGGATAAAGAGAGCTTTGCAGTGAACCAGGTGAGGGCCTGGCATAGAGAGCGATCCCTGGCACTGCCCAAGGCCAGGCTGGGCTTGTGGCTCGAGGGAGGTGTCCCTGCCAGGGCAGGGGTGGCTGAGCTCTGAGAG